TCTTCACGGACCGCGGCGGGCTTTGCCCCTACCGTTGATGGGCCGCCGCCATTGCTGTTTACATCCCGCTTGGTTTTGGCCGACAACCGCAGCTGAAAGAATGGCGACATTCCCGCGTCTCCTAGCCATCCATCCCGCCGATCTCCAGCGCTCTCTTCGCCTCCCGTCCTTCACAACTCCACTCAATGTCCTTCCGACCACCCGCATGCTCCTCTTCCTCTCCATCCCTACTTCCCTGCCTTCCAGTCCCCCATCCTTGCTGAACTTATCCTCTCCCGCTAGCTTACCTGCCTAGCTCCCGTGCACGCAGTTACGAACACCCGTGTCCGGATAGACGTCCTCCCGTTCGAAAAGTCACTCTTGACACCAATGTAAACGTTTACAGATGGAGTCGGAACAGGCTTCAAGTTTGTAGGTCCTTTAATAACTCCCTATTAGCATAGACAGGACTACACAGGTACAACGTACAGGGCACAGGACAGGTACAGCTTGGGGTTTCCACCTTACACACACTTGACACTAACTCCCCGAACACATACCCCATAAGTCATATACATCTTTCTACGTCCACAAACTTCCCGCCTCCCGCCTGCTCCAACCAAGACAGCACCTAGACCAAGGAGCATCACTGTGCCCAGCCTTCTTGTGATTGGCCCAGAGAGACGGGGGGATGGCCTGATCTTAAAGGGCAGTGGCGCCCAGCCACGGGTGATAAATGATCCGACAGTAATCAGAAAAACAGTAAAGCACTGGCTTACACACAAGAACACTAAATTCCCCCTTTTATACATGCTTACTATTACAGTTGGACTCAAAACAACTGAAATGCCTCCTCAAAGTCACCCTACCCAACTCATTCCTCTGGCCACCTCTTCTCTCATTAGCGCAATCAAGGCTTTGGTCAAGCTGCAACAGGTCAACAAAAAAATCGCCAATTTGCTTTTGCAGTAACCCGACCTTGCACTATCACAACCATGCAGAGCTCCTACCTGTGCGTACTCTGTGGAATATGCAGCCAACTCTGTAGCATGACTTCCAAACGTCAAAATGCCCATTTGATGAGGGGAGTACAATGTAAGTGATCGCTTCTGCGTCCCGCAGTGTTTTCGGTAAGGACTCTTACGTTTTCTCTTTTGAGTAGTTTAGAAGATCGAACTAAAAAAAACATTTGAAGAGAAGCGAAGAGAATCAGAACAAGTCTACCCAAAGTTTGTTTGAAAAATGGTTTTGATGGAGTGAAAATGCAACAATTAAGAATCCGTTTTTTTGTCACTATCCCCCTNCAACTGATTGCAATGTATTCCCATCTGCGGCGGGATTTGACGCTCATGGAAGCACGGCATTCATTTGTGTCGGCTGCCCTTAAAGGCAATGTGAGCGTCCATTCGGACGCTCACATTGCCTTTAAGGGCAGCCGACACAAATGAATGCCGTGCTTCCATGAGCGTCAAATCCCGCCGCAGATGGGAATACATTGCAATCAGTTGAAAGCTATTTGCGTCCCTTTATGAAGCTGAAGGAGCCTAGGAGCGTCACAACTGCACGCCACGGGACCCTGACCAAACGTCGCTCCTGGACGATTATGGAGTGAGAGTGTGTTGTCTCAATAGCCATGCAGTAAGCAGTGTGCTATGGCATGGATATTCAAGTGTACTTGAATGGCATCTCTTTGTCTTAGCCAAGATTATGCTAAAATATACTTTCCCCAACTCAATTTAAGTTCCCTATGAAGAGCCAACCTTCAATTTTGAAAATTCCCAGTT